ATGAAGTCTGGGCAGAGGGTCTTCGGTGGTTGAAACTCCTGAATGGGGCCACTTATAACTCAAATATAGATGGCAGCTTATTGGCTTGTCCTGGCTCCTGGCTAAAATTCCTGGTACATTTTTCAAGTCTAGGACTTGAACCACTCAGTTGGCCATATGGGATCTAGCCACCTTCACCACACCATTTGACTGACCCTATTTTCTCCTTTTACATTTAGGCTTAAAATCTATTTTGCTCCTGAATGGGGCCACTTATAACTCAAATATAGATGGCAGCTTATTGGCTTGTCCTGGCTCCTGGCTAAAATTCCTGGTACATTTTTCAAGTCTAGGACTTGAACCACTCAGTTGGCCATATGGGATCTAGCCACCTTCACCACACCATTTGACTGACCCTATTTTCTCCTTTTACATTTAGGCTTAAAATCTATTTTGAGTTAAGTGAGCCAGCCCCATAGCCTAGAGGTTAAAGGAGCCAGATCCTACCTGGCTGACTTTCTTGGACCTGGTGGCTTAAGAACATGTTGAGGGGACCAGTAGTTGGCCTCATGGCTATGTCGCTAGACTCCCATGTAGTCAACCACGGTTTGAGTCCCAGACCAGTGATTTGAAACTCACTCCGGGCACGTGTGCATGCATGCCCAAGATCCCGAGAGGAGAATGGAGGAGAAGGGATTATGGCGTGGCCATCTCTCCTGGGGGGTGATTTCTCACTTTCTGTCTCTCTGTCTCTCTCTGTCTTTCTGGTGAGGGCGTGCACCCTACAGCAAAAACCTCTCTCAAAAAAAAAAAAAAGAACATGTTGGGCAAGTGTGTGTGTGTCCTAAATCCTGAAAGGGTGGCGAAATGAGGGATTGTGGCATGATTATGTTTCATTGGCAGGGTTTCTCCCTCTTTCTCACATGTACATGTACCCTCTGGCAGATTTAAAAAAAAAATGGATTGAAGGATAGACTATGAGAGACTATGGATTATTTTTATCTATATAAATGCCCAGTTGTTCTAGCACAGTTCCTTGAAAAGATTGTCCTTTACCCATTGTATTATTTTTGTACTTATGTCAAAATCAACCAACAATGTTTGTGCACCATATCTATTTATATTACTTATTCATATTGGGTAGTGTGAGTTCTCCAACTTCTTTCTTCTTTTTCAAGTTCTTTGGTTATTCTAGTTCCTCTAGCTTTTTGATTTAAAGTTTAGAATCCTGCTGGCTTTTATCTTGGCTTTTTTTTTCCTCAATAATTTATTTACTTCTTTTTTTCATGAGGAAGAGTAACCAACAGAGTCTTCATGCTGTGATCCATCCCCAACTTCAGCCCTGCCCCATGAGCACACAAACACCCAGTTTGTTTGGGAGAGTTTCAAGACATGAACCCAGAAGCTTCTTATGTAGGTCAGCCTTGCAGAACATTGCATTGGAACCATGCTACCATCCAGCCTCACTTTTTGTAGGAATTTAAACAGAGAATCATCTCATCTGCAAATAGAAAGTTTTGTGTCATTCTTCTCTATTTGAATGTCTTTGCTTTATTTTTCTTGCTTTATTGTACTGCCTACGACTTCAAGTATACTGTTGAATAGGAATGGACAATAAACTCTTTCTTGGTTCCCAGTCACAAAAGTGGAAATTTAGTTTTTCATGGTTCAGGATGATGTTACCTACAGGTGTTTCTGGGAATACTTCTTATTGGTTTCAGGAAGACACCATTGCAAGTCCCTACCTAGTATAGAGTGGGGCTCCCACAGTCCCCTCATTGGATGTGAGTAGTTTGCTAGGATGGACCACAAAACTCATGGAATCCCTTAAGTTCACCCGTTTATTATGAAGATTACAGTGGACACAGATGAGTAGCCAGATGGCAGAGATTCATGGGGCAGGGTACAGGAAGGGGATCAGTAGCTTCCATGCCCTCTTGGGCCATGGCACACTCATCACCTTCACATTTTGTGGAGGCTTCATATGTAAGCATGATTGATCATATCATTTTCCATTGTTGATCAACTCAACCTCCAAGTTCTCTCCCTTCTGTAGAGGTCAGGGAGTAGGGTTGAAAGTGCCAACCCTCTGGTTACATGGTTGGTTCCTCTGGCAACCAGCCCCCATCCTGAGGCCATTCAGGAGCCCAGGAGTTGCTTCATTAGAACAAAAGATGCTCCTGTCATCAGTAATCTCCAAGGGCGTCTGGAGCTCTGTGCCAGGAGTTGGGTCAAAGCCCAAACATCAGAACAGAAGATTCTGCTAGCCTAGCATTTACCAGGGCTTCCAGAACTCTGTCTCAGAAACTAGAGGCAGAGAACAAAAATGCATTTCTTACCATATCACAGTATTATGGTTCTGAATATCAATGATTTGTGGCCTCTCTTTTTCATGGTCGGTCTGGCTAGAGTTATAAATTCTTATTTTTCCTGAGAACTTTTCAGTAAAATTCTTCATAGATATTCTGGTATCACTTCAATCAATAGTTACTCTTTTTTTTTTTTTTCTTCCAGTTCTTTTGCCCTATTTAGTTTGTTCCATGAGGCCTCTGAGACTTGTCTTCCACATGTTGTCACAACAAAGTGTCTCCTGATCCTTGCTTTCATTGTATCCCATATTAGTTGCATTTTAAGGGACCAGCAGATGGCGCAATGGCTACGGCACTGGACTCCCACATAGTCAACCACAGTTCCAGTCCCGGACCCAGTGACTTCAAACTCACACTTGGCACATGGGTGTGCATGGCCAAAATCCCTAAAGGAGAATAGAGAAGGGATTGCGACATGGCCATGCCCCTAGGGGGTGATTTCTTGCTTTCTGTCTCTATCTCTCTGGTGAATGCCCTATAGCAAAAATCTCAGAAAATAAAAAGAAGTTGCATTTTAAAATATGTCAAAATATCTTTTGAAATCTCTTCAAACTTTCTTTTGATCCATGGATTCTTTACTAGAACGTCATTGAATTTCCAAAGATCTGGATATTTTGTAGGTAACCTTGTGGTCCTAATATTTGACCTTTCTTAGTGAGTATTCCATGGGCACTCGAGAGACGTGCCTTTTGGTGGTGTCAGCTGGAGGGTTGTCTGCAGTCACTCAGGGCTCTGATGGTTATGGTGGTGTCTAGATCATCTGTAACTTTCCTGCTTGTTCTGTCATTCACCGGTAGGACTGTGGCTTTGTCTGCATCATCTTTTTTTTTGGAGAGATTTTCACTATAGGGCGCGTGCGCTCGCCAGACAGACAGAGAGAGACATTAGAGACAGAAAACGAGAAATCACCCCCCAGGGGGGATGGTCACGCCGCAATCCCTTCTCCTCCATTCTCCTCTCGGGATCGTGGGCACGCACGCACACGCGCCCGGCGTGAGTTTTAAGCCACCGGGTCCAGGACGCGAACCACGGTCAACTATGTGGGAGTCCAGCGACATGGCCATTACGCTAACTGCTGGTTTCCTGCATCATCTTTGATTTCTGTCTGGTTTTACTTTGTGTGTTTTGAAACTTATGGTAGGTAAAGGGTATTTTACACTTGTGAACTTAGTCTAGCCACCAAGCAGATCAACAACTAATGTTCTGGAGGGTCAAGAGTTTCAGAGGCTCCAGGGGAGCTGCTGTGACCTTCAGTTCAGAGCCTGCTGCTCCTGGAGCCCTTAGGAGCTTTCTTGTTCAGGGCTTCCTGTCAGGCCTCAGGCTCTGAGCCGGGCACTGGGAGAGTGCTTAGTTCTTTGTGTAGATGTTAACAAAGAAGCCAGGCAGTGACATTGTGAGTTAGAAAGCTGAAAGAGGCTTGAGAATGAGCTGGTAGAGTACTCTCTCCTCTATGTTCAAGATGACCCCTAGTTTTGGGGCGGATCTTTCCAGAAATAACCAAACTCATTTTAAAATTAGAAAATCCCAGTCTTTTCATCCTGCCTTTTTGGTGATTGGGTAAATGCTATGCCTTGGGATCACCCCATGGGTGCGCCGAACCTCCCAAGCCCACGTGCACTTCCCTCTGGAACTATGGGCTGGCACAACCAGCTGCTGCATATAGGCCACGGACCACATGCTCTCACCTGAGGAAAGATCCTAGTTCCTTCACTGTGGGACTGTTTTCCTAGTGGGTGGTCTCGGGTGTGCTCTGAGCCCTCTGCACTCTATGGCTTTCTGAGCCTGAGTGGTTCTTGCATGGGGCCCTCACTGAGCTTTCCAGGTTTGGTAGCATGTGAGAGAACTAGATCTCTCCATTTATCAGTGATTGGCATTTCTAGAACCAAAGAATATGAGGGTTTTTAAGGCTTAAAAGTTTTGAATTTGGGGTTTACAAATGTATGTCTGTGTGTGTGTTGTTTATTTTTAATTTTTACTGAAATGTACCTTTTGTGTGATTACTTCAGTAATGGTGTGATAATCCCCCCTAAGTACTCCCTGACCAATAAAGCCAGGTATAACTCGGGCAGCACCAACAAGATACTAAGTGTGGAAGGGCACAGTCATTGTGTGCTCCTGGATGATTAGCGTGGCTTGCCACATCCTGAGGGTCCTGGCATCCAGGAGACAAGCACTTCAGCCTAGAATGTATCCCAAGGCCCCCTCTCATCTGTGACAACTCCCACCTGCTAAGAAGTCCTGGGTCCAGCCATCAAAGAAATGAGGTGTTTGAATATGACCTTCTCCGTTAGGTTTGGGGTGGGGAGTGGTTGTGCCCTTCCTTTTGGTACTTACTACTAGCCATTTTCTCAAGACACTGTATAATTTTTGTTTTGTTAATTGCCAGAGGGCATGCGTATTCACCAGAGAGAAGGAGAAAACAGGGCATAGTCACTCTGTAATCCCTTCTCCCATTTCTCCATCCTGTGAAGACTTTGGGCATATATGTTCACTCACCCAATATATTTTTCAAGCTACCAGGGCTGAGATCAAAACTACTCAGTCAGGCAATGTGGGATTTGATTTCTTTAATCATTGAGGCCATGGGGTCAACCCTGAAGGTGTTCTTGTTTAAGAAAAACTCTTAAGTGGCATTGGCTGTATTTTTTACAGAGATTGGATGGCTCTGACTGGAAGAAAGAGAGGGTAGTATTGCCAAACTCACCAGGGCATGCAGACCCCGGATGGCCTATGCCGGTTGCAAGCGAAGAAACAAACACCTGCAACATCAAAGTAAGGCCAAGCCTACGAGCAGCACAAGACAGTGGTGCTTCACGAGTCCTGAGCTTATTGATTGCAGGCAAAAGCACTGGCATGACTGTGAGCCTCTCATTAGCTGGGCATGGCTGCCAGCGCTATATTAGATGCCTGAATGCCTTCAATGAGATGACATGCTGGCCCTGGTGGTCAAGTTGCTAGAAAGAGAGGCAGTTAGAATAAACTTTTATTTGAAGCATGGGTTGGTGTACAAATACTGAGCTTCTGTGTTCTGAGTTAAGGGTCGAAAGTCTAATGTTCGGAGTCAGCAGGTCATGGTCCCTGGTGGGCTGAAATGGATCTGTTGCCTGGCAAAATCTTGGACCAGATTTGTTAGTCATGGTCTTTGACAGTGTGGTATAAATTGTGGGCCTCTCTCAGGGGGAAATGCCTCTTTGGGTTTGGATGCAAGCCTTCTGTTGCTTCCCCTTCACATAGCCCTCCTACTCTCCTGGACATCCATGGAACCCACAGTGAGCTCCATATCCCACACCTAGGTTGAACCTTCTGTACATGGTCATATTTGAGGCTCCTTCACTGGAGCCCATTTGATAATGCTGTGGAAAGGAGATTTATATTCCACATTTGTCTGGTCAACAGAGACTGCTCATTAAATAACAAGGCAATTTCTGACTGTTAAAGATGTGCTGACTTATGTAATAATTTGCTGAGGACAGACACTGTAAAGAGAGCAATACAAATATGCTACATAATGTTTGCCAGCAAATATTTTTGTTTCCTATGATTAAGTTTTACATTTTTTTCCTTTTAGATGGAAAAGTTGTACCTGCATTATTTGAGAGCAGAGAGCTTTAGAAAAGCTCTGATTTATCAAAAAAAGTATCTTTTACTATTAATCGGTGGATTCCAAGACTCTGAACAGGAAACTCTGTCCATGATTGCTCACCTGGGGGTATTTCCTTCTAAAGCAGATAAGAAGGTCACGACATCTCGGCCTTTTACTAAGTTCCGCACTGCTGTCAGGGTGGTCGTGGCAGTGCTCAGGTGAGTCAATGCAGCCAAGCAGTGTATCCTGCCTCTCTTTGTGAACAGGCAGCACACAGTTATGGTTTTAGGGTAGTTTTTATCCTTGAGACTCTACAGTACATTCTCTTTTAAGACAAATGACATTTGAGACCTTAGAGAAAGTACAGATGACATTTCTTTTTTAAGAAGTCATGTGTTAAGCTATCACCTCCTAAAATCAAAAGATTTAAGGATGCCTCTTTATTACAGAGGTGTGTCTACCCCCTTATTGGGTTTCTTGGCAATATTCTTACTGACAGTAACACATCTAAAGTATTTCAGAACCGCACATTACCGAAAAATTTCGGTTTTCTATATTTTAGTTAGACTCGTGTTATAGAAAAGGGAAGCTAGGTGCATAAATGTATTTGATTTCTGGGGGGCATGGCCAGTCCTGAGCACGCAAATATAGTATGAGACCTAGAGGGGTGCTAGCTGCAGGGCATGAGAGCAAATGTTCAGTATCCCTTCTCCCTTTTCTCCCTCTTCTTGGAATTTTGGGCATGCACGCACACATGCCTGGTGTGTTTCTCAAGCCTCTGGATATAGGATTTGAATTGCATAGTGGGATTCAGCTACCTTAACCACCACCTCCCTGGCTGGCTTGAGAATGTAGTCTGCTGGGTTTCCGGAGCTGTTCGACCCACTAAACTATGCTTCCTGAAGCCCATAGGAGTGTCCCCAGCCATGCTTCGGCCTGTCTGCAGGTCTGGACACAGGTGCTAAAGAAGGCAGTAGGAGAGGCCCCTGAGTGTTGCGTCCTTGGCCTTCTCCAGCTTTGGCCCCTTAGTCTCTCACCACCACATCTGACCATAGGCCATCATTGTCCACCTGTCCACCACCAACTGTCCCGTATTTATGGGAGGATCCCTGTACACAATGCATGAAGTGTTAGAAGGGTGAGAACAGCCCCAGACCTACCTCCAGTGCACCCCATACCGTTCTTGCCCACTGATAAAGACAAGGAGGGTCCTGGAAACCAGGCAAGAGTGGTGTGTCCTTCCCACTTTCTGGCATTGAAGAACCAACTTTGGAATGATGTCTAGAAAGAGCCATGGTGGAAGGAACTGTGGTCCAAGGTGGGGCGCAGGTGCCTCCAGAGGGGCTTGGCTAGGGCAGTGGCCATGGCCTAAGTCTTATCTCCCCTCAAAATCAGCAGCAATGTCCAATTTAGACACTGGTCACATTAGGGAGTTCTTTCTGTACCTCTTTTGATTTAGTTTTAAATGTATTTGTCTCCTATTTTTGGTAGATTACAGTTTTTGGTTAAGAAATGGCAAGAAGTAGATCGCAAAGGAGCCCTGGCCCATGGCAAAGCCACCCGCCCAGGTAAGACTCCAGCTGCTATTAACAGTAATTCACAAAGCTCTCTTTCTACTCATGGTAACATTTTCATTAACATTTTGGTCACTTTTTGGTGTTTGGTGGTGATTTAATGGAACATAGTAAGAAAATTAGTAAGTTCAGTCAGAGCAAGTGCCTAATAAGACCAAAGTTTGGACAGTTACTGTTATAAAAATAGGTCAGAGGCACATACTGATGATAGAAAGATAGAAATGCTAAATATGTCAGTTATGAACACTTGGTGTTTGATTTTATTTTTCTTTCACGTCATCTAGAGTCTGCTCCATACTGCTGATATTTCCTTTTAGAGCATCACTGCTAATTTTTGTCTCAATCTCAGCTTGTATCTAACACCCCCTTGCACATGCTGGCCACATTGACAAAGGTAGAGCCACTGGGAGTGGGGCACCTAGCAGGCCCTCGTGCCTTCTCCAAGGTGCAGACCTGGTAGAAAATGTTGTTCCCATTCAGCCCTGAGGACTGCCAAATCTGCTGATGAAGCCATGTAACTTCCACATTCTAGTAGGTATTTCTTAAAGTTAGAGCATTTCAGTTCAACTTTCAGGTCATCAGGGAGGTTCACCCCCTCTGGCCACATAATGGTCTCAGTGTTCACCCCTCCTTCCTTCTGGGCTTATTACTCAAAACACCTAGAGAAGGGACCTCCCAAACCCACCTGGGTCTTCCCTGTCCTCAGCACTGGACTGCTAGATCCGATCAGTATCTTGGGAATGAAATGCAGGAGGTTAGACTTCAGGCCTTTTCCAAGTTCTCTAGATATGTAACTCAAGTACTTTAAGAATGTTTCAAGAGGGGCTGGCAAGTGGCATGTCATTAAGGCCCTGGACTCCCACATGGCTGACCGTGATTCAAGTCCTGGACCTTGCAGTTTGTTTCCTTGCTTTCCTTGTCTCTCTGGTCAAATTAAAATAATAATGATGATGAATAAAGTTAAATAAATGATCTTTGAAAAAAGGAAGAAAGAATGTTTCAAGATTGCTGAGTAGACTGATGAAAGCTTAGTTTTGTGTGTGTGTGTGTGTTTTAAATTTTTGCCATTAAATGCGTGTGCTCTCCACAGAAAAACAAATAGATGGAAAGTGAGAAATCCATGCTCCAGTCCCTTCTCTTGGAGTTTTGGGCATGTGTGTACACACACATACTCAGTATTATTTTTAAGCCACTGGGTCCAGGATTCAAACAATGGAGTCGGCCATGTAGGATCCAGTGCCTTAATTACATGTCACTTGCTAGGCCCCAAAATTTTAGTTTTAATTTAAAATTTTGCTAGGTGGGCCTTCCTACTAAAATGCCTTTCTTCTCAAGATCTCTGTTATTAAATCATCAATAGGACCCCGAGCGCCCAGGCAGCGGCAGTCTCCAACTGAAGCTAGAAGGTCCCCACCTACCCGGGATCTTACCCAAGGTACCCGACCTTCAGCAGCAGCCTCCCCGAGTCAGAGGCAAAGGTAAGTTGTGGTGCTCGCAGGCCCTTCTAGCTCTGCTTGGGATTATCTCCCAGCCAGCTGGTTCTTTGGAGAACCTTGCCCAGAGCAAGGCAGGGGATGCACTAAGTCTAGGAGGGCCTGGAAGTCCAGCTCTTTTGGGGAGGCTGAGGGTTGTAGTTGGGGGCTTCGGTGCCCAGTGCCTAGCATGGCAATGATAATTGAAGAAAATACATGGTCCTAAACAATCACCTCGTCCTAACAGCCATGCTACCAATCATTCTCCTAGTGTTTGCCGCTTATGAACACTTGGTGTTTGATTTTATTTTTCTTTCACGTCATCTAGAGTCTGCTCCATACTGCTGATATTTCCTTTTAGAGCATCACTGCTAATTTTTGTCTCAATCTCAGCTTGTATCTAACACCCCCTTGCACATGCTGGCCACATTGACAAAGGTAGAGCCACTGGGAGTGGGGCACCTAGCAGGCCCTCGTGCCTTCTCCAAGGTGCAGACCTGGTAGAAAATGTTGTTCCCATTCAGCCCTGAGGACTGCCAAATCTGCTGATGAAGCCATGTAACTTCCACATTCTAGTAGGTATTTCTTAAAGTTAGAGCATTTCAGTTCAACTTTCAGGTCATCAGGGAGGTTCACCCCCTCTGGCCACATAATGGTCTCAGTGTTCACCCCTCCTTCCTTCTGGGCTTATTACTCAAAACACCTAGAGAAGGGACCTCCCAAACCCACCTGGGTCTTCCCTGTCCTCAGCACTGGACTGCTAGATCCGATCAGTATCTTGGGAATGAAATGCAGGAGGTTAGACTTCAGGCCTTTTCCAAGTTCTCTAGATATGTAACTCAAGTACTTTAAGAATGTTTCAAGAGGGGCTGGCAAGTGGCATGTCATTAAGGCCCTGGACTCCCACATGGCTGACCGTGATTCAAGTCCTGGACCTTGCAGTTTGTTTCCTTGCTTTCCTTGTCTCTCTGGTCAAATTAAAATAATAATGATGATGAATAAAGTTAAATAAATGATCTTTGAAAAAAGGAAGAAAGAATGTTTCAAGATTGCTGAGTAGACTGATGAAAGCTTAGTTTTGTGTGTGTGTGTGTGTTTTAAATTTTTGCCATTAAATGCGTGTGCTCTCCACAGAGAAACAAATAGATGGAAAGTGAGAAATCCATGCTCCAGTCCCTTCTCTTGGAGTTTTGGGCATGTGTGTACACACACATACTCAGTATTATTTTTAAGCCACTGGGTCCAGGATTCAAACAATGGAGTCGGCCATGTAGGATCCAGTGCCTTAATTACATGTCACTTGCTAGACCCCAAAATTTTAGTTTTAATTTAAAATTTTGCTAGGTGGGCCTTCCTACTAAAATGCCTTTCTTCTCAAGATCTCTGTTATTAAATCATCAATAGGACCCCGAGCGCCCAGGCAGCGGCAGTCTCCAACTGAAGCTAGAAGGTCCCCACCTACCCGGGATCTTACCCAAGGTACCCGACCTTCAGCAGCAGCCTCCCCGAGTCAGAGGCAAAGGTAAGTTGTGGTGCTCGCAGGCCCTTCTAGCTCTGCTTGGGATTATCTCCCAGCCAGCTGGTTCTTTGGAGAACCTTGCCCAGAGCAAGGCAGGGGATGCACTAAGTCTAGGAGGGCCTGGAAGTCCAGCTCTTTTGGGGAGGCTGAGGGTTGTAGTTGGGGGCTTCGGTGCCCAGTGCCTAGCATGGCAATGATAATTGAAGAAAATACATGGTGGCTGAGGTCCCTTCTACTGGGGCTGGGGCATGTAGCCTGCCCTGAAGGGAGCTCGTCAGTTAGAGGAAGGTGAAGAACTAATGAACCCTGCTGAGGGGAAGGGAGGCCAAATCGGCAGGACTTACCCAGGGGAAGAGACAGTTTGGGAAGATCAGAGAAAAGCAAGTAAACAGGTAGGTCACCTTTCATGCAAGACATATGGTTCCCAGGACACTGGTGCATAATCCAGTTTGATAGTTAAAGATTTAGCAAGTAAGATATATAAACAGTATTACTTAACTGAGACATTATTTAGAAGTTGGTTTTAAAGCACTGTGTAGTCATAGGATGTATGTGCTTGCTGGAGGGTGACAGGAAAAGTAAGAACTCACCACCCCCGCCACAGTGGGGATGTCCATGCCGCAACCTCTTCTCCTTTATTCTCCTCTTGGAATTTTGGGCATGCACACACACATACCTAGCATGATTTTTAAGCCACCAGGTCCAGGATTCAAACCATGGTCAGCCATGTGGGAGTCCAGTGCCTTAATCACCATGCCACCTGTTGGCCCCTATTTATCCTTTTTTTTTTTTGGAGAGAGAGATTTTCGCTATATGGCATATGCACTCGCTGGAGAGACAGAAAGTGAGAAAACACTCCTCAGGGGAGATGGCCATGCCACACTCCCTTTTCCTTCATTTTCCTCTTGGGATTTTGAGCATGCATGCACACATGCCTGGTGTGAGTTTCAAGCCACCAGGTCCAGGACTCAAACCACGGTCAACTATGTGGGAGTCCAGTGCCTTAACCATTATGCCACCTGCTGGCCCCAGCACTTTTTAATGAGCCTTTTTCATGTTTGGCGAGAAAGAAAGGAGAAGGAGGAGGCAATATGATTGCATATTTGGTCAGCAAGCCCTGTGCTCACCCCATCTGCACATATAGGCTCCATCTGCTGAGATCAACTCCTTTTCCTTTTTTTTTTTTTTTGGTTTGTTTTGTTTTGTTTTTTGTTCTTCCTGTGTGGTGGTTTGTTCGAAGATCCACTCCATCCCCAAACTCAAGATTAGAAAGATCCCTGACTGCATCTCAAGATCCGGAACAGTCCTTGACAGAATATATTCACCACTTAGAAATGATCCAACATAGACTAGGAGGAGCACCACCAGGTAATAAAATTCCTTGTCTAACTTTTGATTAGGATATTGTAATTCTACTCTGCTAGGTGGGCACATGTGTGCCCATGATCTGACATGGCTGAGGGTGGATCACAGTGTGATTACCCTTGCACTGCCTCTCTCTTTCAGTGTTGAAAAGACTAATATTCCACTTAGTCAAGTTGTTAGTCTTAGTCTTCATAATAAATTCTCATTAATAGTATTAGAATAAAGGTTACAAGTGAAGCATCCTCAGATGTCCTCAGTACTGTAAGTGTTGGGGTCAGTTTGACTCAATTACTAACTGGACCTTTTCTCATTCACTGATAGAGAACATGAAGATTATGTTTCAGGCAAGATATAGTTTGTCTCATGTTTCTAAAACATTTTAAACCATTTTGTATCTTTGTTATAATTCATATCTTTACCACAATTTAGATGAATTCAATGATTTATCTGTGAACGAGCAATTCAAAGCTATGACATTTTTCCTTAAAAATGTGTAAAGCCTTCTAACAATTACTCTTATTTTTATTTATGTTTAGAATACACCTCAAAGAAATCCTGCCGCCAGAAGATTAAACAGTGAATAAAATCCTTGTGGCTCTTGCCTGTAACAATTCTGTTTGAGGAAAAGAATTGTTTTTTCCTTTATTAAGGAAAGTTCATGGTGTGGCATGGGACTCTACATGTGCCTGTGACACCTACCCCGAATGCCATTAATGAAGTGTTCTCACCTTTATGCATTGCTGCAAACCCAAATGGAGCATTTTATGTGTGATTTCAGTCAGTCTCAGTTCCTCACCTTCTCGAGGTAACGGACACTCCCAGGAGGGGACAAGCGCATGCTGTTCTGTGCCTATCGGCGGAGGCTCTCTGCCTGCCTCCAAGAAGGGCAAGTGGAGAATGGCTTCCTGATTATTTTCCTAGTGTACACATAAAAACTTTGTTTAAAAATAAAAAAACACACAAGAAAGCAAAAAAGGAATAAAATTTAAGTACTGTTTTGTGGATTGCCCTTATGTTGTTTAAGTTTTATCCAGTTTGCTTTTCTCACTGGCTAAAAAATAATAATAAAACATAGACCTTAGGATCTGTGTGAAACTCCTGTAAGTCAAGTTTTCCATGGAACTCAAAGCATTCTTACTTAGTAGAAGCAAATAGCCACTAGCAAAATTTGTTAATCTTATTTGGTTTCTTATTTTTATTTTTGTAAAACACTGCCACTATGGGACCAGCAAATGGCATAGCGATTACATCACTGGACTACCACATGGCCAACTGTGATTCAAATCCTGAACCCAGTGACCTGAAACTCATGCTGGGCATGCGTGTGTGCATTTGTGCCCAAGGTCCCGGGAGAATGGAGAAGGGATTGGAGTGTGGCCATCTCCCCCTGAGGGTTGATTTCTTACTTTCCCTTTCACTTTCAGTCTCACTCTCTCTCCCTGGCAAGCCCATGCACCATAAGGCAAAAACCTCAAAAAAAAAAAAAAAAAAAGATATTACCACTAATCTGCTTTTCATGACTGTGACCATTTATGTTTTACTCATACTCTGTTACACCATGCAGTAATACCAAGCCAAGCCTAGGGTATATTTATAAGTATCCGAGTATGTTTTTAGGAGCTTTGAACATGATATTTATATTTACCTGAACGTATTAAGTTTGTTGGGCTTAGTTTTATTTTGTTGGGCTTAGATTTTTGGACTTTTTTTTTTCCTTTTTTTTTTTTTTCTACAGGATGTAGCATGCCCCACCCATTGGAGATAGAGAGGGAAAGTGAGAATCTCCACCAGAGATCATGGCCACACTGCAATCCCTTCTCCTCCATTCTCTTCTTGGGATTTTGGGCATGCATGTAAGTGTGCCCAGCATGATTTTCAAGCTGCCAGATTCAGGGTTCCAGCCTCAGAATTTGCCATGTGGGATCCAACCAACTTAACCTCCATGGCACCTGTTGGCCCTGGGCTTAGGATTTAATATAAAACTTTTTGTAAATCACTAAGCATGTTTTGGTGATTAAAATTTTTTTTTCAACCTTCAATACTGGTAGATGCCTGCATTTTCTGAGGATCACTGACAGTACTGTACAGTTGCTGTTTCCAGGCTTTCTATTTTTTCCAAGAGCTTAAATATATCTTTATTTTCAGCATCCAAAGAATATTGATTGAAACTGATGATCAGATATAGAATAAATAAACATTTTTTTTGCTATAGGGTGCATGTGCTCACCAGAAAGAGAGTCAGAAAGCGAGAAATCACCTCCCAGGGGGGATGGCCATGCCACAATCCCTTCTCCATTCTCCTCTCAGGATCTTGGGCATGCATGCACATGTGCCTGGCGTGAGTTTAAGCTGCCAGGTTCGGGACTTGAACCGCAGTTGACTACGTGGGAGTCCAGCGATGTAACCATTACGTCGCAACCAACCATCTGCTAGTCACTAGAATAAATAACCATTGTACCAGTGCTCAGCCAAAATGGTAGAGGGCTCACAAAAACTACCAGTAGAGGTGACCCTCATCCCAGCTTGTTACGATGAAAAGTTGGTAATAAAGAGGCATTTCCCTTGCTGTTTATGGAGGAGTGGTAGATCATCCTTGTTAAAGACGGAAAGTTCTTTACAGAAATATGCAACTAATTAATATAGAGGAAATGAACATTAAAGAACCACCACTGTGCAGCCTCCAGAGCAATAATAAATTTAGGATAGGCTCATCAAAAAGGGAAATTTCACTTTTATAAAGCAGAGACTTAGGAGTCTCCATCTTAACCAGATCATCAAACCAACCATGGCTTGTAACAGGTGATCCAGTATTTGAGACTTCCTGACAAGATGCTGTGTGAAATGAAATGCACAGTAGTAGCCTCTGTGAGGTGCCCTTGCCAAAAGTTTTATCTTAACCCACAGGGCCAGATAGTGACACAACAGTAAAGCAGCTGGGCCCATGTGGGAATGTCCTCTAGTCGCTTCCTAAGACCTCTGTGAGCATGCTGGGCGCCCGCCCAGCTCATATGCCAGTGATCTGACCTGACTGGGGGTAGATCACAGTGTGATTACTCTTTTGAGCGTACCCTTACCATTGCCTCTCTCTTCCGTAGAAGAAACAATGTTTTTTTTTTTTTTAAAAAAAAAAAAAGGTAAGGCCAGCCCCCTAGTGCAGTGCATAAATGCTATATAGAAGGAGCTCTACCCCACATGGTCAGTGCAAATTTAAAATCCAGCCTAGTGGCTTGAAAAACATGCCAGGCACACATGCTGACAATCCCGATGGGAAGGAGGGGAGGTGAAAGAGGGAATATACTGGAGCAAAGAGCACTGTAGCCCTTCTTGTTGTAGTCATGAGGCTCTAGGTGACCTTTTCAGTTTGCTCTTCCATCATCCAATCCTTGTTTTCTGGCCTAACTAGTGATTGGTTAGGCAACCGCACCCTTTATTCCTGGAAGATTGCAAACCTTAATTGGTTTCGCCTTTGGATGGCTATTATTTCTTCTTTCCTCTTGTTCTAAAAGGCTCTCAGTGAAGACATCAAATTACAGACAATGGTCTGTCCCCATCAGAGCCTAGCCCTTCATTTCCCCCTCCTATCAGCAGCACTAACTAGTACCATAACTTCCACATCTGCTTGTGAGTATAGACAGCATGAGTATAGTCTCAGCTGCTAATTTAAAGGGACTACTGTATGCTTGGAGTAGCCCTCCTTGGAGATGGTAAAGCCTAAAGGTCAAAGAAGTGCCTTTAGGAGCAATTCAGCATTACAGTAGAAGAGTAGAAGCTGATCCTACAGTCCTTAGTGGTTGATGCTCATACCTATGCATTCTTTTTTTTGGGGGGGAGAGGTTTTCGCTATAGGGCACGTGCGCTCGCCAGAGAGACAGAGACATAGAGACAGAAAGTGAGAAATCACCCCCCAGAGGGGATGGTCATGCCGCAGTCCCTTCTCCTCCATTCTCCTCTCGGGATCTTGGGCACGCACACACATGCGCCCGACGTGAGTTTAAGCCACCGGGTCTGGGACGCGAACCGCGGTCGACTACATGGGGAGTCCAGCGACATAGCCATTATGCTAACTGCTGGTTCCCACACCTATGCATTCTTGAAGCGGATGTTATGCCCTGAATTATGCACTCTATATTGACAGTGGTGTCCTTATCCATTATCTTTGCTGAGCCTTCTGTAGGCCTCTCCACCATTCTTTAGGCTACTTCTGGGGATGGGGGTTAAGGTAGGAGCAGGTGTCTCACAGTTAGCAGCCTGGTACATAACTGCTATGAGAGGAATGCTCTGTTTAGAAGCAGTGATGGTAAGGAAAATGAGTTGGGCAGGAAACGCAAATCCATACCCAGAGAAGGAGTGGAAAGGTAGATACAAGGGAACAACATAGCTGGAGAGTTTCATGGAAGCCCAAGCCACCTGTTCATGGAATTTTTTCCTGCCTACCTAACCCACTTGAATCTTGTCTCATGCCATTTCTAACACCATTCTCTGACACCAGGTTGGTGTTCTACAGTTCCCCTTTTTTTTTTTTTGGGGGGAGAGGTTTTTACCAAATGGTGTGGGCGCGTGCCA